CATACATACATACATACACACATACACACATACACACATACACACATACACACATACATACTTACATACATATATACATACATACATACATACATACATATACACACACGCACACGCACATACGCTCCTCGAATCACTAAGCCTGGTAACCAAGAGACTTCAGCCTTGAAGTTTTCCACTCGTGGAGCCGTAGCGAGGCTGATCTCCTTGCCAAGGACAGAAGCAGAGCGGCAGCTCAGCGCTATTGTGCGAAGGCCATACTATGCCATGGCACCCAGGGTTAGGTCAGCTGTCACCTCTGCAATTGTTGCGGGAGTTTCGGTCGTCGACCCAAACGAGCAGATTAAGATCGCAAGATGTTGTCGTTGTGAGCGTATCTGGTCACAGACGCTTCGAAGCTGCCATGGCCGCCAAAGATGCGGGCGGTGTTTCGCGGTTTGCAAAGCTTTTTCACCCTCTTGGCCACTGCCTCGGCATTTAGAGAGTTTCGATCAGGCTTTTCACGGATGCTGGCTGTCGCCCCGATGTTCTCAGGCCTTGCTTCAGAAGGAGTCCGAAAGTACGTCGAGTGTGGGCACTCAGAGAAGATTAGCGGACAGTGGATGTTGTTTCGATGCAGCGCAAATCCCGCAATTGATGCATGTTGTGCGCAGTCGCGGTCCTGAGCGAATGCTGGAACCTTGAGCACTGGACCGGACACGGCGCACATGGCAGGGGCTGTAAAAAGCTGCAAACGAAACCGCCTTGCCACGCTGGCCCAGAACCTGGAGCAGCTCAGGGGTGATTATCCAAGAACCGCGAAGAAGACGCGACAGTGTACATGATGGCCAGCGACCGTAGATTGTCAAGACGTGACAGATGAACAACCTCAGACTGTCTGGATTTTCGGGGCACTAACAGCTCGTCGCGAGATGTCGCGAGACAGCTTCGTCCACAACCTGGACTAGCAGCAGCCAGTATTCTATGCAAGCATTAAGGCACTGTTCATCTTTTGTTGGGACTTGTCTTCTATACCGGTATTGCTTCACTGTAGACCTACTGTTATCACTATTGCCAACACTATTTTAAGCATGCCGGCTCCATCTCGAACGATTGTCGTGTATTGCAGCTGTGCAAGAAAGAACAAGCGTCCACGGTGGGAATGCTTGGTCAGTGTGACTTAACTGTTTTCTTTGGGACTCGGTGCCAGACCGTGGTCGTCCACCCACCCATCGGGGGAAGGGCATGTCCGGTGGGGCGGTGGGGCTCGCGAGACTGGGCAACACCTCGAGAGACCCGGTTGGAGGACCTGGGAAGCGAGCGGGCCGCTCGGGCTAGGGCCTGCTCCAAAGGGTGCGACGTCACTTCACGGGGACGTCGCCCCCTGCCCTGTTTGCTCGCCAACCTCTTGCACAGCTCCGCCCTACTGGCGTCCTCGCACCATTCCATGTGGCGCCGGGATGCCTCGTGGCTGGGGCTGGCCATGGGAACCCGTGCCTAGTCCCGCACTTTTTTTGTCGGCTTTCGCCGTGTGGCCAGCAAGGAGTGTCAATTACAGGGTCGAAGAGAAGTGGGGGGCAGGTTGCGGTGGCTCCTCCTCCATCCGCCTGCCCGTGGCCTGCTTTAAAAAGGGGGGGGGGCGAAATCGTTGGGATCCGGGTCAGGTGCGAGGCTCTGCCAGTGGCAACCGAGAATGCATTTTGCTCTGGTTGAAGCCGAACATGCCGGAGGAGTTTGCAATCACTTTCGGGCAAGATGATGCACAGCAGCAGCGATAAGAACAATCCCTTTGTAAGCTTCGCTTCGGGTTGTTGACTAATCACCAATTCTCCGGAATGGCAACCAAACTTCAGTTGGCAAGAAGGCTAGGAAGCCAAGCCAAGCCAGCAAGCCCTACAAGCACAAAGCAGTGGCAGTCATCACGTCCAGAGTCCTACTAGTGATAGAATGGCACCAACGAATAACGAATCAATAAAGAGGCTACTTGTAGCAGCAACAGCAATAGCAACCGACGGTGCTTGTCCGGAAAGCTCTTCGAAAACGCGGGCGGCGATCAAACGACACAAACGACGTAGCCGTAGGGCCGGGCAACGCGAACTGGGCCGCCTTTCGCTCGCGCCCCCGCCGAGCGCCGGAGGGGCATTCGAGTCCCACAGGTCCCGGGGCGCCCTTAAACCCAAGTTGCCAAGGCGCTTCTTGAATCCAGCTGCCCTCCCCTCCGTCCCGCGAAAGCGCCCATGCGGTGAAGCTGCCGTAGAAATAGAGAGCTTCCGAAGTCCAAGCCTGCCCCAATTCCTGCATAGTCGAGAACGTACTAATGCATGCTGCTGCATCGGCATGCGAGGTGAGCGTCCCGGTGTCCCAAAGCCCAATGAGCTCCATCTAACTTCTCGGAGCTCTAGCAGACTCTAGCACTTGATGCATGTTTCAAGGCCTGCTAAACGCACCTGGACCTGGTCTGCACTCGTCACCCCCGACCGGCACGAAGATGCTGCCTAATGATGCCTAATTACCTGAAGCTCGAAGCCTTCAAGACCTTTAACATGCCTTTGGGCCTGGTCTAGACGGATCCCGTCCCATACCGATGCAACATCCTACACTGGCCTCGCAGTGCAGAGAGTTTTCTACACACCGATCAAAGCATCACAGATAAGTCTTGCTAGCCGGGCAGAAGGCTTTTTTTGCTGAGGGGTCATGGCTGCCATTCAGCAGGTCCCGAATTTACTCTGTGCTGAAATTGCAAGTGACAAGGTTTATTCAAAGATCTTTGGCTGAGAAGGCCAGTGCCGACATAAAGCGTCAGCACCGGACTCAGGCTGTGACACAGGATGGCTTTCAGAAAAAAGCCTGCACCGTTCTTTTGCACGCCAGGCTTGGCTCGGCAGGTGGCAAGCGAGCCGTTCCGCTTCCGAGATTCTGTGTCTCCGTCTGTCTCTGTCCGAGTGATCCGACTGGGTGGGTATGGGCGTCTTCTTGCCAGGACCAAGGTCCAGCGCCATATGCAGAGGCTTTGACATCGGTGTTCGTTGCCATCGCAGACATCGTCCAGGCCATCTTGTCCGAATGTCGGTGGGCTATTGCTTCATGATGGTTCTTTTGCAGCTGCAGGAGCATCAGCAGGCCGTCGAACAGGAGTTTGGACCGGAGAACTTCATCGTGGTCGTCCGTGGTCTGCTGGATGAGGTTCCTTGTGCTTAATGTTGGCATGTCTGGGGCCGGTGCACTTTGAACAGCCAGTTCCTCAAAGGAATATTTGGGAAAACGCATTGGGCTTCAACGGTGGGACGATCTCCAACTCAGTCTCCGAGACTTTCCAGAAGCAATAATCTGATGTCGGTACAACTGGTGTCGGGCATCGCGCACTTGCTCCTGCAAAATGTGGGTGAGTACGTGGATGTCAGACAGTGCGTGGCTCTGCAACTGTGAAGAGAGCACTACTGCTCGCTAGGAGTTCTGCAGATTCTGCAGTTTTCTAGCGGCCCTTGAAAATTGTGTTACAGAGGCTCTTCGCCGCCGGTGGGTAAAGTCTTCCTGGTTTAGCCGTGTTTTGGCACCTGCAAGGTCTACTTGGGTGGCTGTGGACGTACACAGGTAGGTTCCGGTTTGTGCGTCGTCGCTGCTTTGTCGGTGCTGGCGATGGAAATGTGACTCGTAGATGGTCAGAAGTTTTCCTGCTCGAAGCCTCCGACACGTTAAGCTTGAGTTTACAACATCAGCAACATCTGTGGAGCTTGTGATGACAATCTGTCAGTCTGCACAAGGCTTTCAGTGCTGCCGATCTTCTTCAGTTTACGGGCTTTCAGAACGTTCCATGCTGAAACCTTTCATTCAGATTTCGAACACATCTGTAATACGTAGCAGACTAGGTATGCTTTAGAACAGCCTCAGCATCGTACTTCTTCACTGTCAGCTGCGGCAAGACCTAGACACGGCTCGCACAAGCCATCCTCGGCACAAAGACTCGATGATTTCGTTTAGTCGCGAGAGATATCTACGAATCTACGTTTTGTTGTCTTTGCTCTGCTGGAAACAGGCTGACATCCAGGGAATAAAAGTGATTGACAAGTTCGCCAAGGACAACGCCAAGGTGACGACGAGATTTGCACAGGATGACTCCAAATTTCACAGCATTGGCATGTCATGTCGTGCAGGTCTTCTCTCAGCAGTTTGCCAACTCGGAGATGCGGGACGTGGGTGCAGTGTTGGAGGAAATAAACCTGCCATTTCACCATCGTCTACTGGCCTCCTGTTGATGTTCAGAGTCGCAACAGGAGACGGCGATGATCACTCAACGAGTTCAGCCCAACTCTCAGTCGATACAGTGTCTTGGATGCTTCTGTGTGGTGCAGATGACCTTGAGGCAGTTCAATGCTTACATTCACTCGGTGGCGTCCATGTCTAAGACGAACCCAAGGCCCAGGATGCTTTGCACAGCACGGAACTTTCCCGTTGAGTCCAAGGCACAGTGTGGTGGACATGATCGACGACAAAGCAAGTTTTGCAAACAACCTGTCATGCCTGCCTGTGTCGGCCTTGATAGCAGTCCTTAGTGTCCTGGAGTCTTTGGGCCAGGCCTGTCGGACACTGTCCCGATGATGGGCTTCCGGATACGAAGCTCTTGCACAGGTCCGAGGTTGAAATGTCCGCTGCCTTCCTGAAATGTGTTGACGGCCAATGCCAGGGTACAGGAGCTTGTGTCTTCGTACGTCCTGGTTGCCGGCCTGGTGTTCATGTCGTCTCCGATTACAAACGATTTCGCAGTCCTTTTGGGCCTCCGCGAAGCTCAGGTCGAACAATACTTCCTTCTTCAGTCTGTGGAGAAGGCCGTTACTGAAACTGATTGCGCTGCCCTCTGTCTGAAGTGAAGCATCGTTGAGCAGACCCCTTTGATGTTGAAGTGCACTCAGGTTTGGATCCAGATGATCCAGATGTTCTCACCACCACTCTCATCGATGAAGCCTTCTACATTATGCGGATGCCCAAGCTAGCAACTAGCCTTGTTTTCGCTTATCTTGCACGTTGTCACTCCTAGTCCAATGAACCCTCCGTGCATCACCGACCACATGTTCTCCAGGCAGGAATCAATGATGAGGTCTGTCACAACTTGTGACGGCCTAAGGTATCGGACAACTGCATGCAATATCCGATCGGATGTCAATGGATCTGAGTAAGGTGACATCAACGCGGTCTGTGCTGTATCCCTGGCTTGTGTTCTTGAACACGATTCGTGTCGAACGGTTGTGCTTTTTAGCTATGTGTTTGTATATGCACATTCTGTTCTGCTTTTGTTTTGGCTTCGATTTGCGTTCGACTGCAACAGCTAGCCTCAACATCGTTGGTCCCAGGTGGTCAACAACGTCAATGCAGCTATTGTTGGTGAGCTGCGCCAGGCCTGTCCAGAGTTGCTCAGAGGCGTTCCACCAACAAGTTACCGTCGCGCAGATTGCGTTGATGTTCAAAACATTGCAAATCACTCAAAAAGTTGGTTTTCCTTGGGAACTGAAAATCTGTAGTTTGCCTGCGCATCCTTTCCGGGTCCATTCGATCAATACTTAGGGGGCCCCTATTGCAGGCGTTTGCAGCAGATGTTTCCCGTAATCGCTTGATTTGCAGCCTTTCGTGTTCATTCTTCTTTTCCGCATTCGCTAGATTCAGGTACCCCGAATTAGGCCGAACTCGCTTGAAGCGCTTGTGACTCAGATACGGGAATGGCAATGAAAGATAGCGACACCGCTTATGCACCAGAATTCATTTCAGAGCATACGCAAGAGAGCCTCTAAGAAGGCCTGCAATCGGGCTTTCTGCACGCAGTCTTGTCAGGAGTACAAGCAAGGGGCCCTCACTCCAGAGTATCTAAGGAAGAGCGGCCTGGAGCCACCAGTCCTGCCAGCGCATTCAGCTGCTAAGCCAAGGCCTGGCAACGCCAGGCCAGCCCAACCCTAGGAGGCAGCCACCGGTCCGGAACAGGCCTCGACCGTCGACGCCAGCGGGCGGATGGGGTCATTCTCGCTAGAAGTAAACAAGAAGAAAATCCGGTGGAAGGTGCACATCTGGTCGAGGTGACTTTCCCCTGGCAGGGAGCTCGCATGCAGAACTTGGTGGCGTACGAGCACGGCTGGTCGTCGCAAAAGTCCGTTCAGCAAAACAAGCAGGATCGGGGAAATTCTTGCATTCCGTTGCCTCCGCGTTCCGCTCTATCTCCTCTCGGGATAAACTGCTGTTGGCGGGAGACTTCAACGCACAGCTGCATTGCCATCCGGGCTGAATTGGTTGGCCGCTGCAGCACCCCGACTGAGCAGGCAGAACATGGCAACACGAAGCATTTCAGCGATTCGTAGATTCAAATAGCTTAATCGCGCTGAACACTTGGTGCAGCGACCGGGGATATACATTCTTACAAGGCAGCACCAGGATGCAAATTGACTATATCTTTACGTTTCAGGCTTCCTGGAGAATTGCAGCTCCCCAGTGATCCTGTGCTTGATCTTCACCTCAATGCTGCTGAGTGCGCGGCCGGCACAAAATCTGGCGTTTCCGGGCCACCCCACGTGCTCTGGTCAGAAAACGCACGTGGCAACTCGGGCGCGTTTGCGAAAGGTTTGTTGAGGGTTGAACAGAGCGAAGTTTGGAGACAGGGAGATTTCACCGTAAAAATGATTTCTATACTCTATACCTTTATGTGATTTGTTACCGACTTGCGTATATGTGCACCTTGGATACTTGCTAGGTTCCTGTCAACTTTGTTTCACCTGCAGCGTGACTGCTCAAGACCCAGCCTCGCTAGGGTCCAGCAAAAGATCCGCGTGCACTTAGGGTAGTGCCCGTGCTGTCTTCTAGCTGTGTAGTCAAACTCACGGTGTTTAACTCTGATACGATCTCAGCTCTGCCTTGCCTTGCTTGTTGCATTGCCTGCTTGCTGGGTGTACGATTAGAAGCACCACTGCTTTGTGACCGAGAGTTAAGTGGAATCCTCTGCTTTTCACAGGTTATCAGTCGTAGGACCTCTTGCTTCCGATTTTGCGCTCTTGCTTGCTGCTGCCGCTTTTGCACTCGGATCATCCATCCGATTGGCGACTTGCCCCGTCTTGTGCCAAGTTGCGCCGCAGAGAGACGATGACTCCGATTGGGTCTCCGCGTGTTCCCTCCACTGTCGGTTCTTCACTAGTGACGCCAGTGGCACGGGATGCTGCGGAGCCCGATGATAGTGCTCCTGCGCCAGCTTTGCTGCTGCCTCGCCGCCGCATGCCATGCCTGCCGAGGTCGATCAGACTGCCTTGCCGCCGCAAGTGCCTTGCATGCCTTGCGCCGCCGCGATGACTGGCAATGCGCACCCTCCGCAGCATGATGCTTTTGCTGCCGATCGTGCTTTGCCTGCATTGCCTTGCTTTTCTGCTAGCGTTGCTGCTTCTGCTCACGCTATGCGATTCATGCCTTCTTCGACCGATATCTATCAATCCTGCCCTCAATCCCTTCGGGGGAACCCAGAGGGCGCTCGGACTCTCTTCGAGTCCGGGCTTGGCGACCAGAGCCATCCGATTGAGGCTCCGGCGCCCATTGGGGGGTACTTACCCCACGAGGGTGCCACCGGCACGCAGCCGTGTGGCGGGTATGGTGACGGTGCTTAGGTGCTTGGATTAATGCACCGGCCCACGCCCAACATGCCCCAGCCTACGACCTACGATAGCGGCCGAGGGCTGATGCCCGATGACTCCTTTGCGTGGAATGCTGTCAGTGCTGGTACCGCACGGCGGATTGCCGCCGATTTGCAGGCAATCTCGCAAAGTGTGACGAACACCAGAGCTGATCTTGATGTTCTCAGAAATGGGGCTGCTGACCTTGCTGAAGACTTCGATAATAGGATCGAAGGTTTCCGTGATCGATTTATCACGGAGGTAGAACGTGCTTGCGATGAAAATCACAGGAATTACGAGCTCGTTCAAGAGCGTCGCATTGATAACCACGGATCACTTCATGACCGATTCGAAGTCCTTAAGAGTAGCATCAATGATCGATTGATCGAGTTCGATGAGAGGATATTTGAGCTCAATGAGAAGCGGGCCGGATCTATCAGTGCTAATCTTCATCGCGCTATCAGCTCGCTACAGGAATATCCTGATAGCCTCCAGCAGCTCTATCTCGGAATCTCGATCGCTGCACGACTACAAGACTAGAACTGACTTATTCATCGATGACCTTGCCGCTAGGGTTCTTAATCTTGAATCTGCCCAAGTTCATCGGAGGGACGTGACTGAGCGAGCCATCGATGAAATTCGCCGCGAGGTCCGATCACAGAGATCCGAACGATCCACGCCGTCGAGACAAGAGGAAGCTCAGTTCTTCGATATTAGCGACAACGATCGGGAAATTCCCAGACCTGAGGATCTCCCTCCTCAGGCAGGATCTTTGGTTTCCGGGTGTACATCTACTCTCCCTCGTTCTGCACGGATCTCCTCCGGGATGCCATGCAGCTCCCGCTGAGAAGGCCTCGGCTGTCCAATCTCAGACCAGTAATCTTACTGCTGACGATATATTTCGGAGATCGAAGCTCCTAGTCGATGATGGCCAAAAGAATCACCGTGAAAACCCTGACCGGATGCCACAACCTAGATTCTATCATGCATCCGGCTATGGAACGAGCGCGTCTTCCGGTCGGGCTGTTGATCCCAAAATCCCAGTCCCAAATGCCCACGTTTCAGCGTCTTCTGTCAAGTTGAACTCCGGCATGACATCCGGGAGTTCCCCTGCTCCGAATGTAAACCCTGCTGCCGTCGAACAGAGCGTACCTGATAAGCGACCTGTCGAGGAATCACGCCGATCGTTTGCCCCTCAGCCTCGACTCGCCCCGACATTTCCATGCCAGATCTCGTATGACACTCGAACTGCCCCGAGTGGCAATGGACCCACTCGATGGTATGATGCTAAGCTCGGCCGCGCAGGGCCAGGGAGATCGTCCGTTTCCCGTTGCTGAGAGCCCTACTGCGACAGACACTCCACTGCTCCCATTTCGTATTGTCTACGTGGTGGACCGAGTCAGAATTCGATGTCGTGCGATTATGCAAACGCGCTGCGAACATCTGGTCCTACACCGTCTAGTGCGCCTAACGTCGGTGGAGCCCCTGATCATGCTGGGCATTCCAGATGTGGTGGGGTGCCGAGTGGGACTCCAGGTGGCAATGGCGATAACGGAATTGGAAAAGGCGGTGCTTACGGAGGTGGTTTTCCGAGTGGGAACCATGGTTGCCCTGGTGGCGGTCCGCCTGGAGGCGGTGGCCCACCCAGTGGCGCCTGGTGGCGGAGGACCGGGATGGGGGTTTGGACCCTCCATCGCTTCGCCCAAGTGGACGACCAGATACCTTTCAGAGCGAACGATGCATGGGGAATTTTCCCACGCACCTTCGACGATTGAGCGTAGCATGCAAGTTCAGTTGCTGCAACGACTGTTGTCGTGATCCGATGCGGATCTGCCTCGTATGCATCGAGCGAGCTACCGGTGCGCCGCCCAATCCCAACGATCCTGGGAACGGGGCTCCCAAGGCCGATGGTTCGCTCAGTGATGCACGAAAGGTGAAGTGCAAATCATTTCGATCAGAATCCGAACCAGAGCCCGCGCAGCTCAGAAGATGGATCGTCGAGATGCAGGAGCGAGTTGCAAACACATTCATTCGCCTATGGCCTATGATCCAGCATATGCCTTCCAATGGGTTGAGATTCAGGATGGTACGAAATACGAGGATCTGACTGAGGAGTGCAAGTATGGTGTGCTCGAGAACGAATGCAATTCTGCGTTCCGCAAATGCATCAAGTCCATCGCTTTGAAGAATATGATCCAAACCGAAACCGAGCGTATGCGCACGATTGGCAGAAGGCTCGGAAGTCGACACATTCTGTGGCTCCTCTGCGGTTTCCTGAGGCCACACGTTACTGGCGATTCGACCTGCAAGATCATTGATCTCGTTAAAGTCAGTCTTGATCGATTTAGGTATGGTGTTGAAGAAGAAATGCTTGAGGCCTTCACTGATAAATGGGATCATGTTCTTGCCGGAATTTCGGTCGATCGTCCCGATGATGGGATGCTATATGCATTGTTCTATGAGCAAGTCAGGGAGCTGCACTGTCTGAAGCTAGACATGCAGCTTTGGGATCGCGACGCATCCGTCCGCAACTACGAGTATCTGCGAAACATTTGTGCCAACGCGATTACAACGCGGCGGAGACGGCGAAATCAAGAGAAAATGTACTCTGCTACCCGATCTTCCTCTTTGCGGAGACGAGATGCGGCTCCTGCCCATGGCAGCCCGCATCGAACTGGATCTCGTCAGGGACGACGATCCTTCAGTCCCGGCAGACACAATTCGAGAAGAGGAAGCCCTTTCAGGAAATTTTCCCCGCGTCGCGGATCACCGAGGCGCTCGTCACCTAGGAGATCGTCGCCCAGACGTGGATCGCCGAGGCGAGGATCAAGGAGCCCCGGACGGGCTGCTCCCGCCCCGACAAGACGATCCCCTTCCCGATC